TTATAAATAAAGTTGTCTAAAAATATCTTAGTCCTAGTCAAAAGAATAAATTTTCCCTAAATATCTAAAGCTTGGAAGTGATATTTAACTCATAGGATTTATTTGTTAATTTAAGTGATTATCTGATTTTAATATACTGCTAGCTTTTCTTTTGACTGAAAGATATACACTATTGTTAAAGACTTAAAATGTACCTTGGAAAGAAGATAGCAATTTAATGAATGGACTATGTAGAGCTTTCTAATTCCTAAGTAATTGCTTACAAAAACTCAAGCTCTCTGCCTTGATCAGTTAACTGAGAAATAAAAATGTTAATATTATTTCTATGTTGCATCTTAGTGTATGAGCCAGGTTCAATTACTAATTTTATTTACTGTGAGCTAAAAATCAAGATTAAAGACTTTGCAGAACTCATTATTCATACTATACACAAATTCATTAGTTTTTATATTACCAGATTTAAGTGTTACTCTCCTCCCCACTGAAAAATAACCTGAGGTTGATTGATTCATTCATTCCTAGGGTAAAAAGTACCGTGTGTCTGTCGGGAGCTGGGCATTCTTAGTATGAGAATGAGGGTGAGAAGCTGGGTGATCTGTGTTGCTGCCCACAAGGCAGACATTACTAACGTGATGTATCAGAGTTGTACCAGCAGAATGAGGGCTGCCACCTTTTCATCGATGCCAATGAAATAGAATTGAATCACTGTTTCAATATTTGAGGAAAGCTGCTAACCAGGGAAAAATATTTCTTCTGGATATCCACAGAAATATGAAATAGAGAAACTATTATGATGTTCTTAGAAGATAGATTTCTAAAAATACTATAAAAACTTTGTTTCTTTTTATTTTGAGACAGGGCCTCATTCAGTTATCCAGGCTGGCCTCCAACTCGCAATCCTCTTGTCTCAGACTCCTAAAGAGCTGGAATTACAGACACATGCTACTATGCCCACCTAAGACTTTATTTTTTTTAGAGCAGCTTTAGGTTCACAGAAAGAGGAAGGCACAGAGACATTGTATGTATTTGTTGCCCTGCTCCTCCTCCCACATACATAGCTCCATTCATTATCAACATCCTGCATTAGAATGGTGTATTTGTTACTATCCATGAAGACATGAATGTCACCTAAAATCTGTAGCTCACATTAGGGTTCAGACTAGGTGAAGTGCATCTTATTGATTTGAATAAATGTTCAAATACTAAGTATTTTTACTGCCCCCCAAATCCTGTGTTCTGCCTATTCATGATATTAGATGAACCTAATCCAAATGTCCAGGTTTTGTGAAAGGTTCAAATAAGTAATCTGTAAAAAGTAGCCAATGTAGGAGAGAGCTATCAAGGGGGAGGGCTATAAATTCCTCCCCCTTGTATCTGGAAAGCACTGATCTTTTCACTGTCTCCACATTTCTGCCTGTTTTAGAATGTCCTACAGCTAGAGTCACACGGATCTCTTTCAGATGTCACTTAGTACTATGTACTTAAGATTACTCCATGTCTTCTCCTGGCTTGGCAGCATACAYTATTTTTTGTTATCTATTTCTGTTTTATTCTGCTGTGGTCTAAGAACAGGTATTATATGATTTCTAGTCTTTTCAATTTGTTAAGGAGTATTTAATGATAAAAATGCAGTATAGCTTGATGAAATTTCCTTGTGAGCTCGAGAGATGTGTGTATTTTGCTGGTGTCAGATGAAGTTGTCTGTAGATGTTAATTATATCCAGTTGACTGACGGTGCTGCTAACTTCAGCTATGTCCTTAAGTGACAATCTGCCT